TCGTTGTGGGTTGACCTGGAACAGGCCGCGGGGGCCTACAAGAAGATCAAGAAGGAAGGCAACAGGGCTCCGTTAAGGTTTCGGGTTAAGGGGCTCGGGTTTTAGGTTTTGGGTTTTGGGTTTTCGGTTTTGGGTTTCGGGTTTCGGGTTTATGGTGTAGGGTTTAGGGTTGCGGGTGTAGGTGTTCCGGGTGTAGGGTTTGGGGTTTCGAGTGGGTTTAGGGTTTCAAGTGCAGAGTTTATCGTTTAGGGTTGCTAGGCCCTTTGGGCAACCTCCCAGTGTGGGGAAGCAGAGAGTCACGATGGAGGAGATGTTTTCGCAGGGTTTCAGGACCTAGGGCTAAACCGTAAACCCTAAGCCTACACCCTAAACCCTAAACCCTAAACCCACTCACTGAGAAGATCCAAACATGTTAGCTGCTGAATGCCCAGACAGATGGAATCCAGACATCCCCATTGACCGTCATGGGTCCCTTACCCACCTGAATGGGTTCTGAAGTATGGACCCTGAGTTTGCCTGGGGAAAAAACGGGGTCCCCTTTCAAGGGCCCATACTAAGGGACCATGTAACTACCCCCAAAAGCCCCGAAACCCTAAGCCCGAAACCCTAAACCCTAAACCCTAAACCCTAAACCCTAAACCCTAAACCCTAAACCCTAAACCCTAAACCCTAAACCCTAAACCCTAAACCCTAAACCCTAGAGTAACCAACCAGCACTTTTGACATGTCTTACTCGTAGCTTCTCTGGGATGCCAAGTAGTACCCTTTTTCCCCTTTGTTGGGGGTTTTGAGGTTTTCTTATAGACCCCTTTCAGCAAGAAAGGGCACCCTGTTCAATCTTAGGTTCCTGCACATCTAGTTCTTAGAGCCATCTTGGTTCTTAGTGTAGAACCCGAGGCTAAGCCAGAAAAACTCAACGCCGTAAGCCCAACGCCTCCAAACCCTCTTGGGTCACTGTCTTGGGGATTGGGGTGAAGCGCTTGTGGGGTCTCGTAGGAAGATTTGAGGGTGTAATGGGTTCGATGACGACTGTGGTTTGCCTGACTTTTATTTCGCAAGCTGCCCCTTGCCGATGCTTGCTGGCTAATACCATTAGAAAAGCTTTGAAGCTTCCCTAACCCTGAACCCCCGAGCTCCCATCAACAATTGCAAGCCGCAACTACCATGCACGCGAAGCTGCTGCAAGTTCTACTGTGAGTTTTGGGGTTTTCAAGACGCATGCAGCGAAGGGATACTGAGAGTCAGTAGGGGGATCTCGTGCTTGGGTTTGGCTTTGCTGAAAGAAGAGATGGCGTTGAGGATGTTGTGTGGAGGGTGGGTCCTGGCAGATGTGTCATTCTGAACTCTCCCTGCGCCCTCTGAATGGCTTCTCTCTCCATGCAACTCGAACTATAGAGTGGGGCCCTTCCTGCTGTCAGCAATCAGGGTTTAGGGTTTAGGGTTTAGGGTTTAGGGTTCTATACACGAGGCCGCCGGATGAAGAGGATGATCATTGGCCTCACCTGTGTCATCGGCGTGCTTCTCACGGGGACGCTCGGACGGGGGAAGTTGCGGGACCAGGTTGCTGTAGGCCCTGTAGGCCCTCAACCCTATCATCCCTAGACCCTAGACCCTAGACCCGAAACCCGAAACCCTAAACCCTAAACCCTAAACCCTAAACCCTAAACCCTAAACCCTAAACCCTAAACCCTAAACCCTAAACCCTAAACCCTAAACCCTAGACCCTGCAGGCCCGCCTCCCCTAAGCCGCTTGGGGTTTCGGATCCTTGTTGTGCCTTCCACGCGCAAGGGAGCCTCAACCCTAAACCCTAAACCCTAAACCCTAAACCCTAAACCCTAAACCCTAAACCCTAAACCCTAAACCCTAAACCCTAAACCCTAAACCCTAAACCCTAAACCCTAAACCCTAAACCCTGAGCCTCAACCTTAAGGATGTTCGTCCTCTCCTACGTGGCCGCCGACATGGCGAAGGAGAAGATCATAGGGTTTGGGGATTAGGGTTTAGGGTTTAGGGTTTTGGGCTTAGGGTTTAGGGTTTAGGGTTTGGGGTTTAGGGTTTAGGGTAGCACCCACCAAGGCCTACGGAGGAAATAAAGGATCACAAGACTTGATCGCAAATTCTTGCTTTGTGTTCAATCTGAATCCACCCCACCCCCCCCCCCCCCCCGAAATATCTAACCCCTACCCAAAAATATTATGTACTCCCCTTACAGTTATTCGAAAAATACTCGGAGGAGGGGATTACCTATCTAAGCCTCAGGCTTCATGCGCAAGGGACCCTAAACCCTAAACCCTAAACCCTAAACCCTAAACCCTAAACCCTAAACCCTAAACCCTAAACCCTAAACCCTAAACCCTAAACCCTAAACCCTAAACCCTAAACCCTAAAAACTAAACCCTAAACCCTAAACCCTAAACCCTAAACCCTAAACCCTAAACCCTAAACCCTAAACCCTAAACCCTAAACCCTAAACCCTAAACCCTAAACCTAACCCTAAACCCTAAACCCTAAACCCTAAACCCTAAACCCTAAACCCTAAACCCTAAACCCTAAACCCTAAACCCTAAACCCTAAACCCTAAACCCAACGCGGAAGGAGATGCGCAGCGAGGGCGACGGCGTGATGCGAGCCCACCAGGGCGAAGTGGTGAAGGCGGACACAGTTTTCTACCATTTGCTTAAGAACCCCCCACAAAATACCACAGTTTTCTGCCATTTGCTTAAGAAACCCCCCACAAAATTTAAAAAACAATGTCCCTATAGTGCCCGTCTGAGGAAGAATGTTTTGTGTTTTTTTTTTTTTTTTGGGGGGGGGGGGTCCTGAAGCAATTGCTAGATTTAAGCTGGGCTTCGGGTGCTTTTTGAGCTGCTTGGGGTGCGTTTGTATTACTTTAGCCTTTGCGTCCGTTTTCTACATTGATCAAAGTCAGACTCAGAACTACATGTTTTTTCCTTGTCAACCCTAAACCCTAAACCCTAAACCCTGAACCCTGAACCCTAAACCCTAAAGGCCCTAAACCCTAAACCCTAAGCCCTAAGCCCAAAAGCAGGTGGCCAGTTCTGACTTCACCCTCGTGGATGGCCAGCTGGTCGCCCGTGGAGATCCCGCAAGCTTGGCCGAGTGTGGTCCTTCGACTCAACGACGATCTCAGCCTCGGCGTCCCTCCATGCCCTAAAATCCCTAGAAGTGCAGCTAAGCCCTGAACCCTGAAGCCGAAACCCCACACTTCCCACACCCCCTACCCTCCCTACACTTCCCTAAAGCCCCCAGAACCCATCCAAAGACACCCTTGAGCCTACTCAAGCCGAAGCCAGGTTTCCGACCACATCCTCGGCGTCCCCCCATGCCCTAAACCCCTAAACCCTACACCCTACGCCCGATAAAACCCTACTACTACAAGTGGAGTGTTTTTTTCTCAACGAGGCAATCGCGAGTAAAGGTCCTGAATCTGCACAACAAGCCCCCCTTCAAGCCAAACTGTAGCTGAATCCGGGCCAAAGCTGACCTACTTGCTGCTTTGTCTGAGGCACCAACACAACCTGCCGCCGACTCATGGCCAATGGCCAGGCACCTCCACCCTAAACCCTAAACCCTAAACCCTAAACCCTAAACCCTAAACCCTAAACCCTAAACCCTAAACCCTAAACCCTAAACCGCACTAGGCTGTGGAGAGGTTCGGGCTTATTGCTGCAGCATCAAAAATTGAGCGCTTCTTCTATTACTATCATTTGTGAGCATGACATGTCTGCATATTACTCTAACGAATGATTCTGGTTGTTGTCCTATATACATATATCTATATATATATATATATACATATATCTCTATATATATATGCAAACCTATATTTCTCTTTTTACTTGTATGTTTCGTTCTTTTGTTTATGGAAGGGTAGAGCGGGGGGGGGGGGGTGTGGCTTCGATGAAGTATAGTCTTTCTCGAATTCGGGGTGGGTCGGCGCATGTTGGTGGTTCAAGGGTTTTTCGCTCCTTTTGACGTCGCCTTTCCTTACGCACTGTGAGTATGTAGTCTTCTGGGATTCTGGTAGTTGATAATACAAAGTTGCCACAGTCATGCGGGCACAAGGGATGCGTTTTTCTGCGGCTGTAAGGTTGGCGTCTGTAGATGTGATGCCTTATGTTGCGGGACCGCTGTGTCAGAGTCAGACCGTCAACCTTAAGTACTACCCACAGCCATGTTACAGAGACTAGCCGCGATTGGGAGTTTGCGAAAACAAGGGAACCCAAATATAGACCCCAAACGGTAGGATTCCCTTATGATAAGGACCCCAATAGGGTACCCCAAATTTCGGAAACCCTACATTCAGGCTCATGAAGCTTTTGGGGTGCAGGGTTGAGGCTTTATCTTATGAGGGCTTATTCAAGCTTCTTTGGCAGTGTTAAGCCCTTATTTGGGGACTATGGGGCCCTTACATGCCCCCGCCCTTCCGCCCAAGTGGGTCCTTACGAGTTTAGCAGGGTCAAAGTTGCAGGGTGTTTCAGGGCAACCCTAAACCCTAAACCCTAAACCCTAAACCCTAAACCCTAAACCCTAAACCCTAAACCCCAAACCCTAAACCCTAAACCCTAAACCCTAAACCCTAAACCCTAAACCGTGGACTGGGGGGGCCTGCAGCTTCAGGGCAGCTATGGTGGGGTTCACCCCCTAAACTCTATTAACCCTCAACCCTAAACCCTAAAGCCGAGGCTTTACCCTAGGCTTTCGAAGCCCTCGGAGTTCAGGGTTTAGGGTTTAGGGTTCAGGGTTTAGGGTTTAGGGTTTAGGAGCTTCAGGTGTCGAGTTCAGGGTGACGGTGAGGACCCAGGCCCCATGGGCCGCATGCCCGACAGCAGCCTCGTCATAACTCTTTGTTTGGCGGTTCTCTTTTTTTTTGTTTCAATGATTATGGTTAGTGAGGAATACTATGACTATGACGATGACTATGATGATGATGATGATATGGTGAGGATGATGATGATGATGATGGTGATGAATATGCTTATCGACGTTGCTTCATTCCCGTTATTAGAGGAATCCAGCGATTGCCTCATTATTGTTAGTCATCTTGTTTGCGTTTTCTTTTCATATTCTCATCATCCTGTGATCCCCAACAAGTAGCTCACCGGAAGGTGCCATTGCAAACGGCTGCAGCGCGAAAGGTCATGACAGGACGACTGTTGCTCTTGCTTCAGCCCCATATTCCGGGGGTCTTTGCAAAAGGTCAGCAAAAAATAAGGGTACCTGTTTCGGGGTACACCCGAAGCCCCAAACCCCATAATTACAGCGAGGGCGGGTGCACAACGGGGTGCCTTTTTGTCGCGGAACACTCGTGGTGTGACACGCGTTGTCTGAGACTGAGATAACAACGCAGTGCCAGCAGTAATGGGGAGCCTTAACAATGAAACTGTGGGGGGGGGGGGGGGAGGAAGCATCACAAGAGAAACAGAACGATGATAAGTCTGACTGCTTTGAGAAGCATCATCATGAAGAACATCCTGGTAACCCTGATAGTGTTGGTAAGAAAGTTAAGAGCGAGAAGCACGAGCTTGTGAATAATAGCAAGAATGAGAAAGGTTGAGCTAACCATTCAGTCGAGTTTCGTCTATTGACAGCTTTTCAACCTCCGGACTAGTTTCAGGAGCCAAGTCCTTACCCTGCAACCGAGTCATGGAACGGCATCCATCAGCCCTCAACCCTAAGTCCCTAAACTCGAAGCTTCGGAGGATCTGCCACATGGAATTGAGTGTCCAAGCGGTTCGCCTTTCTTCATCGAAGCCTCAAAGATCCTAGAACACACGCTGGTGAAACTTCCACATCTCGAATTCTCGAATCCCTAATCCCTAATCCCTAAACCCTAAACCCTAAACCCTAAACCCTAAACCCTAAACCCTAAACCCTAAACCCTAAACCCTAAACCCTAAACCCTAAACCCCAAACCCTAAACCCTAAACCCTAAACCCTAAACCCTAAACCCTAGACCCTAAACCCTAAACCCTAAACCCTAACCCCTAAACCCCTAAAGCCCTAAAACCCAGGACTCTTCTCTACCATGAGGAGAGGCAACTTGGAGAGGCCGCACCAGGGACCCAAGAGGTTCATCTGAGCATTCATTCCTTGAAGGTTGAGGTGTAAATTCGGCAACCTTCCCCCGAACATGGGGTTAAAAAGAAAGGGGTTCCAGCGTCTAGAGGGTTTAGGGTTCAGGGTTTAGGGTTTAGGCGGTCATGAGTCGCAAAAAGAGAGAAAGAGAGAGAGAGAGAGAGAGAGAGAGTTGCGCAAGTGTGGTAACTTTGGCTAAGCCCGTATGTCAGGGTCCACTTTAGAAGCCTACGTACAACTCTCCATGCACCTCTACGTAGGGTTTACACGTATCAGCTTGGGGAGTTGCTCCTTTTGGACTCCCCTCTCAATATTGGTGAGTGTTTATATGTGTCTATTTTAAGGGGCTGCGCCCATGGGCGGGCAGCGCACGCAGAAGCCCGGGGCGAGCAGTTTCTAAGCATGTTGAGGCCCCTAAACTCCCTTAAAATCTCTACGCGTTAAGTTTCTAAGCATTTTCAGGCCCCTAAACTCCCTTCAAATCTCTAAGCGTTTGAGGCTCCTAGACTTCCTTAACGTTTCTAAGCACTTTATAAGGCCCCTAAACTCCCTTTTTCCTATTTATGCCCGCCCTTTGGGGGGCGTCATGCTCCTGATGCGCCCCCGGGGTCCCGCCCCGGGAGCCGCTGATGCTCCTGATGCGCGCCTGGGGGTCCCGGGCTGGACCCGCTGATGCTCATGATGCGCGCCCTCTGGGGGCCTCCGTGGCGACGCAAAAAACCACGAAAAAAAAACCGTTCACCGGCGGCACGCGGGGGTCGGCGGCACTGGCGTCCGGCCTAATTCTGCTTCGCAGAAGGCCAGAGGCCAGCAAGGCTATTCCCGGGACGACCCGGGCTAAAAGGTCCGCATTTGCTCGGTCCTTTGGGGACCTCGCGCTGCCCGATTTAATGGCTACCGCCAGTGCCGCCGACCCCAGACCCAAGACAGTCGCATTGGGGGCAGGTGGAGCGCGGGCAGGCGGGGGGGGCGGGGGCGGGGGGGGGGTGGGGGTGGGTGGGGGTGGAAAGGGGGGCGGCGGTGGGGGGTGACGGTAGAGGGTTGGTGTCGGATTAGGGAGTTGGGGGTGGAAGGCAGGGGTGGACTGGGGGGCATAGAGATGAAGAAGCGATGAGAGCGGTGAGAGCGGGGGGGGTGGTCGGATGGTGCACGATGGTGGGAGGGGGTAATGATGAGGGCTGGGGAGGGTTGGTGGGAGGGTTAGGGAGTGGGAGTGGGAGAGGGTGGGGGCGGCTGGCGGAAAGGGGGGCCTGACCCATTTGACCAGCTCTGGTGAGAGGGTTGGGGCGGAAGGCAGGGTGGAGCGCAGCGGGTGGAGAGGGGAGGTGACGGAGGGTTGGTGGAGTTGGGGGCGGAAGGCAGGGGAGTGATGAGAGCGGGGAGGCGGTTAGGGCGGGCGT